AAGGATTTAATGTAAAATCACCATTAAAGGCTTTGTTAGATACGAAACATACGGCTATTCTCTTTGGTAATTGACCCAAGAAAATGTTATCTAGGGATTTTGAAAGTACACCTGCTGGTAATGTTAGTACTTTTATTTCTGTTCGAGTGATGGGGTACTTGGCTGTAGATATTTCTAAGGCTTTGGCGTGCGCCAACATAATGGTCGGATTTATTTTCACCCTTCTTATAAGTAATGTCGTGTTATTAATTTGTATTTTTCTTTTTGTTGGCGCAGCAGTCATCAATGCAAAGTTGTTCCTTGAACGAACTAATTTTACGCAGAACTCCAACCCGTTGATAAGAAACTTATTCTGATTGAAAAGATCACAGTTAAGGTGGCCTATCAAATCAACTTCTTTACTTTCCTTGGTAAATGCGTTTCGTTGTTTGTATCCTGTGTTACTGTCATCTGTCGTATCCATTTTACCTGGTGTGTCCGGGTACCACAAGCCTAGGGTTGCCACCTTTCGGATGACGCATTGCGGGACATTTTGCTCTTAACCACTACAATCCCTTCCTTATACATTGTAACATTGTATAGATATAGTATGTGGCCACAACACAAATACAACAAACATTTAAATGGTTGTTATATGTTTTTATTACAAAAAAAACAAATAAATTATAAATTCTCTAAACTTAACAGATACATATTTAAGTAAAAAACTAAATAAAATTCTGACAGAAAAAAACAAACTGCAATTATTGTTTATTTTTAAAAGAATATTTTTTATCGCTACCAACAAGACGAAGTATGTCCGGAAACTCTTGTATGTAATCGTAAAATTCACTGCAATTCATATCAAAATTTAATCGAATTTTTAACTCTGCACTTAAAAGTTCTGTAGCGATTTTATTTCTTTCATCACGATTAATAATGCCCATTAAACTAAAAACACGTTCACAATAAGCATTTGATACTGGGATGGACAGCACGAAAGACACGATTTTAGAGATTGCGGGTAAGTGGGCTCCTTTGAAAACTGTTACCCATTTCTAATCCACTTCGCTTGACAGTTTTTGATGACCAAATTTGTTTAATACTTCTTTCAAGATACAGTACTCTTCATAAATAGAGTCCTTTTCTATATTTAAACCCAAAACGTCTATGATAGTTTCAAAACTCTGCCATTCGATTTCTGATGTTAAGTCCAAAAATTGAAAATGTTGAAAAATGGATTCTTCAAAGTTGTACCAATTGCACAGGTAGTTCACACAGCGGTTTAGGAAATCTTGAGCTTGTGTTTCAAAAGATTTTTTCTTGTTAACATCTAGTGTTTTCAAAATCTGATTTGCATTGTTTCCATAAAATCTATCTTTACCTCGCTGCTCCAGCTGCATTTTCAATTTTTTCATAATTGCATGTAGTTCAACAGCTGTTTTATTATTTTCTAGTAAAAGAATAGAGTTATGAATAATTAGAGAAATGTTATGGGTAAACCAAAGAGTGCACAATGGCAAAGAATTTTCGTCATCGTCCTGAAAAGTTTCCCAGATTATTGCAGCATTGTTAGCTTCACCTTCGGACTGAAAGTAAGATTTAACCGCTGGCCAGTTTTTTAATAAGCGATCTATAGCAGGGTGCAAAGACAACCAACGAGTAGGAACATGACGCAGCAAATCTTGATATTCCAAATCCACAAATTCAAAAAATGATTTCAAATTTTCGGTTCTCTTTGCAGACGAAGAGAATTCGTTATAAATTTTTATTACCACTGATTCTACATCGACTTTAAATGCTTTACTTGCGTTTTTAACCATATTATTTATAACATGGCAGAGACAGTTAGCTTTTATTAATGTTGGTTTAACACTTTGCAATTTCGTAAACACAGAGTTAAATTTCCCAAAGTTTACAGAGGCATTGTCAGCACAAAAGCTGGATACCATGTTAAATGTTAAATTACATTTTTGAAAAATTTTTTGGATATGTTCAAATATCTTTTGACTAGTTTCATGTGGAAATTCTGCACAATCTAAAACTCTATGACATATGCCTTTTTGCATAGAGAAAAATTGAACAGTCAATGGATAGTATTTACGATTTTTTTTATTTGATGCGTCGGTACTAATTGAAAAATATGTGTTGCTCAACTCTCCAAGCAACATTTCATGGGCCTTCGGTGCTAAAATATCTTTGGCGATGTACGTTTGTTTGGTCCTGCCACAAGTTACTTTTTTTGCAATATTAGAGTCCTTGTAAATTTTTTTTTGAAGTTTTGTAGAGCAGTCTTGGCTTAAATAACTCAAATGGTGATAAACGGTATGATAAGTTAGTGATATTTCGGCTAATGCAACTGATATTATTTCTGGAGTATCTTTTTGAATTATTTATTTATTTTATTTTATTTTATTCAATTACGTTACGAATTAAAAAATTCTTCATCATGTGATTTTTGCTTTTAGCTTTCACTAATTCCAAATGATGCTTTGATTTCGCATGTGCTTCGATAGCTCCCCTGCCTTCATATTTTATTTTAAATTGAGTATTGCATATGTCGCATCTAGCTTCCTCTTTACCTATTCTACTTGGTCGCAGCCACTGTGTCCATTCAAGATTTTTCATCCATTCGTCATTAAACACACAATACCGCTTAATACGTCTTTTTTTAGGTGGTGTAACAGAAGGACCCGCTTCATTATCCGTGTCCGTCATGATATTATTGAGAACTTGTTTAAGTTTTAACACTTTATTGATATTGTCACTTGTACGTTATGCATGAAACATAACACATAACCTAACTATAGTTAGTGGCGAGTGGCGGTCTGGCGGTGGAACTGTGGGAAGGTGCGGTGCAAGGGGAACGATGGAACGTGATAATCTGCGCAATGGTCAGCGATCATGTCAAACGCACGGAAGTCTGCCGATGCTTGCTTGCAAAAAATTAAAAAGTTCGACATGAGAACATGAACACTCATTCCGGGACAATCCCGAATTCTGATGGGAATTAGTTTTCGCCGGGGCATGTATAATAAAACCGGGATGATCCCGGCCATTCCGGGGCGGGTGGCAACCCTACACAAGCCACATGTTAAGTGAGATGCTTTAGCTGGCGGTCCATAATTTAATAACGTTTCAATATAAGATTTGTACGCGTATGTGTTGTTTGGCGGCGAAATTAATTTTTGAAACTCGAAAAACCAAGAAATCCAAATCGAAAACTTGAGACTTCAAAAGATCGAGAAATCGAAATAGGCCGAAATCGGAAAATTCAAAATTGAAATATTTACTTAAAAAAAAAGATAAACGGAAAAATCGAAAAACTCAAAAAAATCGATATGAGAAACAGAAAATTCCAAAAATCGAAAAATTGAAATACAGATTAAAAAGTTTAAAAAACCGAAGTTAAAAAATCGTAAAAACAAATTCCATTCGATTTTCCGTTTTATCGATTTTGCAATTTTTTGTTTCTTCAATTTTTTCCAATTTTTTAATTTTCCGATTTTTCAATTTTTCGAATCTTCTACTTTCCGAATAAACACAATGGAAAAGTTATAAAATAGAAAAATTGTAAAATTGAAAACTCAAAGTGAAAAAACTCAAAAGTATAAAATGAAGGCTTCGAGAAATCTAAAAACTTCGAAAAAAAAGATCGAAAAATTGCGGTCGAAAACACGAAAATTATTGTAAAATCTAAATATTGAAAATTGGAAAATCGAGGAATTGAAAATGTGAAAAATTAAATAAACGAAAAATTGTGATATCAAATCCAGAAAATGAAAATTAAAAAATCGGGAAAATGGTATAAAAAAAAGAAGAACTTGAAACAACATCATTACGCCGAATATGTTCATTGCGCTACACATAACCTCAATTTAGTCCTTAATGATTCTGTTAAGAATGTACCAGGAATTTCCGCATTTTATGATTTAATAAATGCTATATACGTCTATTTCAGTGAGAGTTTACCGAGATGGCAACAACAACAACAACATTGAGATGAAAGAAAATGATAAGTGTGTTATAAAAAAAAACTTTAAAAAAGTTATGCCCCACCAGATGGTCATCGAGATTTGATTCTCTAATTGCTATTAGATATAATCTCTCAACAATTATGAGCTGAAATTATTTTAACATCAAAAAAGAAAAGTAAAATAGATGAAGCTGTAGCTCTTCGTAAATAAATGGATTCATTTGAATTTGTTGCTCTATTAGTATTTCAATGCAAAATTTTAGAAAATGTTAATTTGGTCTCAAAAACTTTACAGAGTTCAAATATTACTTTAGATGAGGCTTGTAAATGGATGGAACATCTAAAAGACAAATTTCAAAGTATACGTGACAATTTTGAACAAATAATGGAGGAATCAAGGAAATGTGCTGATACCTGGAAAATTAACAATTCTTTTTCAAATAAACGTATAAAAAAAGTAAAACTGTTTCATGACGAATTATGTGAAGATACCGTTTTCAAAGATCCCACTGAAAAATTTAAAACAACCGTTTTCTATCCTGCTCTTGATATTTTAAATGTTCAAATTAAAGATAGGTTTGAAAGCATGAAAAACGTCAGAAACTATTTTTCTTTTCTGGAACCACAGGAAATGTTGAATAGTACAGACGAAGAATTTGTGGACAAAAAAAAATTTAATCGCTTTAACAATGAAATAAAATATTACTTCTAAAGTGAAGGTGCTCAGAATAAAACGGCAAATTGCAGTTGATTTTAAGCCACGTCACTCACATTACTCGATAATTTTAAAAATTAGTCCGCATTATTTATTTGGAAAGATATAGCAGCCATATCTAATCTAATTATTACGTAATAGGTGGGAGTCATGCACGTGTCTGGCAGCTGTTGTTAAAACAGCTATAAAACTCGTAATGCGCAACACTCAGGCTACGCCGCACGATCGATCCCCAGCTGGTCTGCCGACAAAACCGGTTCGAACTTAACTTCGGATTTAACAATGGATCGTGCTAAATTTTCATTTATTTAAAGAAGATGCGAATTATTTATAGTTAAGTAACGCATAAGTATGTGTGCATATGTAGCAAATGAAACGTTATTTCCAGCTTGAAATGTTTTTTTCGTTTAAACACGTGCTTTTGCCGAAGTTAAACGAGGTGTCACGACTGCAAAACAAGCCTACCTAGACTGACCTTCAAACCGTTTGTGGGTTGTTGTTTGTCCTAGTGAGAGTAACACAATTTAACATTTTCCATAGACTTTACATTTTTTATAGATGCTTCATTTATGTGCTTTTAATGAAAGAAAATTCAGGTATGTATGCTATTTTTAGATTCGTATTTTACGCAGATGGTTTTTTTATTGTTATTAAATGTAAATAATTCTCGTTATGTATTATAGCCAGTGGCGGTCCCCTAGTTTTTGAATTTAACTCACCTGAAAATTAGGAGTATTTGTGTAGAATCTGGAGGAAAATCTTGACAAAACGAAATATGATAACGATTTTTTATTGTGATGATGAGTTATGACTATATTTGGGAAAAATATTTTGCAAAATCGATTTTGTATTTAAGAATACATTTCTTTCACAAAAATTTTGTCAATTAAAAATAGTTCACTAAGTGTATTGACTATAGTAACAATAAAATATGGAAGTGTTAATCCACAATGTTTCAAATTGATTTGTTTTTTAAATAGTGATTGAAAAAAAAATGTATGTATAGGTGTACTCTTGTGTCTGGATCGTAAAACGTTAACCAAAATTTGCCAATTCAGTCCCACCGAAAATTTGATAGCGTTCTCCCAAAATTTTACTCAGTAAATCCGTTTTGAAATGTGGAATATAATGTTGTCTTATATACGTGTAAGTTTTAAGCCACCTTTATTTTCAACCTTATTCACATGGGTTTATTTTTAAACATCATATTAATTGACACTTATATGGAACGTTGTTACCGAAGTATAAGTTTCATTTCTATGACAGCGTGTTTGTATTAAATATACAGTGCATCTTTTTTAAAAGTGGCCATAGGGATTCCCATGCTAAAATTTTAAATCCCATGTTAACTTTTGTTAGGGTGAAAGCCCAGAGATAATTTTTGCGGTGCAAATAGCCTTCGGGTTCTAATTTAATTTCCACTACCACTTTTTGCAGTAAATTGTTTATTTGTACCTTAAAAAATAAAAATTATTTTGATTAAAAATGTTTGGTACATTATAAAAAGTTGACTTATTATTTAGACTTGTCGTTGTTGACACTACCTATAATTTTAATTTAATCATTAAATACCTTTGTCGACGACTAGCATTTATAATTCTGTCATTATAGATGTCAAAATCACTCATAAATAGGCCGATTTACTGGCCATAGGGATTCCCATGTTAAGTGGTCTACCCTATGTTAACTATGTTTTGGTGACGCGTTGAAGTACCTACTTGACTTCGATTTTTATACATCGAAAGAATGTCACGTAGAAATTTGTGATAACCGATGTAAAGTAAAAACCAGCGGCATAAATAACACCCGCACAGCTTTTGCGCCATACGGACAATCTAAAATATATTTAAAATAACGGGATAAAATGTCCTTCAGCACTAGGTAATACCCATCTGAAGCTCAAATGTTTATCTATTTTTATGCATCGAAAGAATGTCACGTAGAAATTAGTTTGATTTGAATGAATTTGTCTTCTCAAAACAGAGGACTAAAACTATTAATTAAACCACAGTCGAACAAAATGTTATGAATATTATAATTCTTATTTTATAATCACTATATAAAGATGTGCGTATTCTTTACATGTTCAAGAAAACAGAGTGACTCGTTCTTAGTTTGAGAGTGGGTGAAGTAGAAAGTCAACTAGATCGAATGGAGAGAGAAAAGAGAAGAAATAAAGTAGTGATGATGGGATTGGACATAGAAACAGGAGAGCAGAAGCAGATAATTGGAAAAGTGACAAAATTTTTAGAAGAGAAAGTCAAAGTAGAGAGTAAAGTTAAAAGCGCGTACAAAATTGCAGAGAAAGTTTATGTAGTGGAATTCGAAAACAGAGAAGAAAAAATAAATGTAATGAAAAGCAAGAAGAACCTAAAAGGGTCGTCAATTTACATAAATGATGATCTGACGAAAACGGAAAGAAAAATTCAAAACAAGATAAAAGAAGAGGCAACAAAAGAGAGAAATAAAGGAAAAATGGTTAGAATGGGATATAAAAAGTTATCTGTAGACGGCAGAAATTTTAAATGGAATGAAGAAGAGGGCAGACTTAAGAAGGCAGAACATTTTTAGTAAAGAGCCAAAACAGAATGAAGAAAACGAGGAAAAAGGGAAGCAAACAAGGCAAAGGAAAAGAAATAAAGGATACAGATAGGGAAATCGGAAAAAGGGAAGCTGGTACAAAATTAAGAGAAAAAGGGGTGAAGGTACTGTTTTGGAATGTCCAAGGGTTGCGAAAAAAGGAAAAGGAGTTCTGGGACTACGTGGGAAAATTTGATGTTGTGGGGCTAGTAGAGACTTGGGTGCAAAGAGAAAACTGGGAAAAATTGAAAGAGACCCTACCACAAGAATATGTGTGGGAGTGTCAAGGGGCGACAAAGGAAAAGAAAAAGGGGAGAGCAAGCGGGGGAATAGTAATGGGAATTCGAAAAGAAATGCAAGAATTGGAAAAGGGAAGTAATAATAAAAACGGATTAATGAAGAAAGTAATACAGCTGGATAACAATCGCTGGGAAATAACCGTTTATAGCAAGAAAATGGAGGAAACCAAGATAAACATAGAAGTGGAAACAAAAGAAAAAGGAGATGAAAAAATACTTATAGGAGGGGATTTTAACGCAAGATTGGGCGATAGGGGGACAAGAATAATAGATAAAGAAAAAGGAAAGAAAAAGAGGATCAAAAGATAAAGCAAATAACAAAGAAGGGAAAATATTGTGGCAGATAATAGAGAAATGGGATGGGAAATTTTGAATGGAAACAAGGAAGGAGATGAAGAAGGAGAATGGACGTACGTAGGGGCGAGGGGAGAATCAATTATAGATTATGGGATTGTCAACGAAGAGGCGTGGGAAGAAATAGAGAGTTTCAAAGTGGGGGAAGGGGTAGAATCAGACCACATGCCTCTAGAAATAAAAATCAAAGGAAAAGAGCAAGAGTACGAAAAACAAGAGAGAAGACACGAAAGATAAGAATTAGAAAAAAGAATATGGGATGAAGAGGGAATTCAAAGATACAGAAGTAGACTAGAAAAAAAGAAATTCGAAGTAAAAGAAGATATAGAAGCTATGATGGTGGAACTGAGCAACCTAATTGTAGAAGCTACGGAAAAAAGAAAGATATACATATGGCAAGGGAGGGATAATGGATGGAACGGAGAATGTAGTGAGTTGAAGAGAAAAGCAAGGGAAAAATTAAGAAAATGGAAGAATAACAAGGGAAGGAAAGAAGAGTACCTAAAAGCAAGAGAGAATTATAGGAGAAAATGGGAAGAAAGAAAAAGAGAAAAACGAGAAGAAGAAAAGAAGACAATAAAGTCCCTGAAAACAGAAGAGCAAGTATGGAGATATATAAACAAGGAACGGAGAAGGAAGACTGAAATCAGCGGGAAAATCAAAATACATGAATGGAAAACACACTTTATGGAATTACTGGGAGGTTGTGAGGAAAAATGCTGCAAAATAAATAAAGGAATCACAACGACGGAAGAAATGTGGGGAGGTTCGGAAATAACAAAAGATGAGATAGAAAGACAGTTTGGAAGACTGAAAAGAGGAAAGGCACCAGGAGGGGATGGAATCCAGAACGAAGCGTGGATGTTCGGGACAGAAGAAGTGAAAGAAAAGATATGGGAAGTGGTAAATGGAGTTTGGAAGGGAAAAGGGTTTCCTCGGCAGTGGAGAGAAGGTATAATAATCTCATTATTTAAAAAGGGGCAAAAAAGTGATGTGAAGAACTACCGAGGGATTACCTTGCTGAATACGGCGTACAAGAATATGCAATGATACTCGATGAGAGGTTACGAAAGGAGATGGAAGCAAGGGGTATGTTACCAGACGGTCAGGCAGGGTTTAGGAAAGGAAGAGGTACTATGGACAATGTGTACATCCTGCGGCATTTAGTGGAAAGAGAAATAAGGAAAGAGGGTGGACGAATGTACGCATTGTTCATAGATTTCAAAGCAGCGTTTGATAGCGTGAATAGAGAGAAAATGTGGAAGTATTTGAGGAGAAAGGGAGTAGATGCATACTTGGTAACGAAAATGGAAGAAATATATGAAGAAACAGTAAATACGGTGAGAGTGAATGGAATAGAGAGTGAGAGTTTTTATACAAATAGAGGAGTGAGACAAGGATGCCCACTCAGCCCCGCATTGTTTGCAGCTTATCTAGGAGATATAGATGAAATGTTCAGAAAAGCACAGACAGGAGGGGTGGTAGTCGGCAAAGAGAAGGTGTGGTCCTTGGCGTACGCAGATGATTTGGTGATTGTGGCAAAGAAAAGAGAAGAAATGAAAGCAATGATTAAAAGTTTGGAGAAGTATGTAAAAAAAAAGGAATTGGAAGTGAATGTGGAAAAAACAAAAATGGTGGTGTTTGGGAAGAAAGTAAGAAAGGAGAAGGAAGAGTGGGCATGGAGAGAGAAGAAGATTGAACAGGTGAAAGAATTCCAGTATTTAGGATATACATTAAAGAGCAGTAACTCAGATAGAGCGCATATTCAAGAAATGGTCCAAAAAGCGAACAAAGTGGTAGGAATAGTATGGGGAACAGGAGAGAGAAAATTTGGACATGATTATAAGAGAACAAGGTACCAATCGACCATTTGATATTTTTGTAGTTTATTTTGCCCCCCGTTTAAGTTCTGAAAGGTACAACGTATTTATTGACAGGGTGCTTTCTTGGAAATTTAGTTTTGGTGTCAACATAATTTTCGTAGGGGATTTTAATATACCGGAATTTTATTCTTGTTCTGATTCAGGAAATTTAGTTGGTAATATGATTCCTCTTATTCATTTAATTGAAATTCGTAATCTTAAACAATATAATGCAGTTCTGAATGCAAACAATCGGTTGCTTGACTTGCTCTTATCTAATACGACATGTGTAGTAACGAAATGTGATGACTATTGTACAGGAGGATCTTCATCATCCTGCATTTCTTGTAAAACTGAATAATATAGGTTGAATTAACAATAAGTATATGAAAACTCAAACTACTGCAAAAAGTTATAATTTTCACAAAGTGGACCTAAAATCTTTGGAAGAAGCACTCTCAGACGTAGACTGGTCCTTTCTTGATGAATGCGATAACGTCAATTTAGCATGTGATTTGCTTTATCAAAAACTCTATCAAATTATTGAGTTGTTTGTTCCAAAGATTAAAACACGATGCGAATTACATCGTTCAGTGTAATATTCTTTAATCGTTCGAAATTGTCTCCCAAAAACGAACATTCTGTTCGAACTAATTTCCTGACATATAAACTCAACGGCATCGTTAGATAAGACATAGTTATCTTTATTGTTTACAATAATTTCAAATGTTTGAAAAAGTAGACGTTTATAAACGGTTCCCTCAATGGACAGTGAAATTCGTCTCGGTTTCCTGTTGCAAAATTACTTTTTCATTATTAAAAATGTAGTTACGATTATTCCATTGTTCGTTACACCTACTAATCGCATGTTACAAGGGATGATGAGAAAATTTAATAGTTTTTTTCAGTTTATACAAATAATTTTGAAATTTAAAGGCACCAAAATCATCTAACGTTCCATGATTTTCGTATGTATTCGTTTCCGTATAAAATACCATAGTTTTCCACGAAATATTGTAACAGCTCATTCGCATACTCAGAGTAACTTTTCAACAAATCAGGGGAACAAAGAATACGAACTGCACAATGCAAAGACCTAAAATGTACATATTGTGAACGAGAAATACGGTTTTTAAATATCATTGGTTCGGAATACAACAAAATTTGTCTAAATTCTGTTGCTTTGAATCTGTCAACATCATGTAAGTCTCTAGGTAGGCGAGAGAATTCCTTAGGAACACATTGTCTAAAATTGTTGACTAAATCTGCAAACGCTGCTTCACGGTCTATTTGTTTCATTCGTACATCTTTAGCACCTTTAATCCAAAAAATTAATAACCGCTTAAAACACCTAGGTACACCAAGTGCATGTAGTCTAGTGGCACTTGAGACACTAATCCAATGTTTAATCTCTCAAAAGGACTGTGGATGTTAACTTTATGGTAATTTTCGTCGACTTTGTTCTTAAAATTTTCATCTGTCCTAGGTTTGTTACTAGTTTCAGGAAACGTCATTCTATTATTAATTATTTCTCCTTCTTGCATGCACTTAGTACATCCGTGATATCCAGTGTGTCCTTTTACTCCAAGAATGAAGCTTTTGGCCGATGCATCACATATTATTCTTCCGTTGAACGAAAAAAAATCTTAGCTATGACATCTAGCAATAAAGTGGAAAGTATTAAGTATGATTACATGATTTCTCATAGTCTTTTATCGCGTCCTGTCGAACATGCTGAATGTAATAATGATGATAATAATAAATCTATCCCATACCGCAGAAATTCCCACACCCAACAATCTAGATACCATAATAAGTGGCCTGAAACAAAAACAACTGCATGGAAAATTTTTCAAAGAGCTAGATCAAACTCACATCATCAAGAAAATGTCAATGATTTGACTCAAGAAATCAAGTTTATATGTCGAAACAGATAATAATACAAACAATTACAGAAAATGTATAAGATAAGATAATTTTATATTTGTTGGAACTAAAGCAGCTTACAAATCGTCAAAAATAAATGTAACAATCGAAGCGTTAATAAATGTGTAGTATAAATCAAAACATAAAAACAAATATATATAAAATATAGCGGAATAAAAATAATATTCAATAAAAGATATCGCGCTGTACAGATTTCTTAACCTTAGACTGAAAATCTTCAATATTATAAAACGCATGTTTCAACAGAAAACATTTGGTAGCTTTTTTAAAATTTACATAATAATTTAAAGTTTTGATAAATGTTGGAAATTCGTTGTATAAAAGAGCACAGTGGTAATTAATGCTATTTTGGCTGCGGTGAAGACGTAAGTATTTATACTTTAAAAAATGGCGATACCTTGTAGCGTATGTATGTTTTGCGCACTCATATTCAGATGTATTTATATAGGTGAACAATAGACACTGTAAAATGTATGCTGATAGCTACGTCAAAATTTTTAAATCGATGAAAGCATTACGACATTCATTCCGATATCCCAATTTCCCTAGTAATCGAACACATTTTCTTTGAAAAGCAAACATTTTTTCCTGTGAGCAGAATGCCCCCACACTAAAATACCATAAGTAAGAATACTATGTATAACAGCATAACCTTTTCCGAAACACAGTCTAAATTTTCCTTAGTACAAACAATTTTCCAGAAAGTTTCTTCAAGGTAATATGTGTTTCCCAGGTCATTTTGCTATCTAAAAATAGTCCAAGAAACTTAACTGTTGTAATTATTGGTAATAAACTGTCTCAATTTTTATCTGCAGCATTCTTGAGAATTGTATTAAACATATGAAATTTTTCCTCCAGCTTTATGGAGTGTCATCAGCAAAGCTAAATTCCATACAGTTTATACAGTCAAAAAACCTATTTAAGCCAGCATTTTTCATAGGTCTGGTAATAATTAAATTCTTTTTAGAGTTAAATAAATTGTTAAATACAGAGCAACAAATAGTCATACATATATTTGAGTGATCAGCTAAATTTAGATTATGGACAGCAGTTTGATATACATTCTCATTTAAATTCCAGATCAAAAGAGAGAAATACATTTAATAATACCTAATATTATCGAAGCATCGACCTTCACTGATTGACTTAGTAAGAACATTTCCTAATGATTGTTAACATTCTTTGGATTTCTAACATTCCCTGTAAAAATCCACCAAAAGAAAAAAAAATCAAGAAACTGAATGAGATAAGGACGATAAAGATGTTATACATTGGATATTAAAAAATACAATATTTTAATGTCAACGTTTTCTCCAGACCTCACAAAGTCACTAATTCATTACATGATTGTTATGAATTTGCTACATTGTACTCATGTGGTAGTAATTCTTTTATTTTAGAATGCCATTTAAGATCGTCCAAACTATAGAGGGGGGTCGCTTTTATTTTTCAATAGTTCCAAGCAAGTGGGAAAAGGACGGACTTTTACGGTGGCCTCCCAAAAGCCTTTTGGTCAAACTTGCCCATGTTGAAAATTCGTCGCCAGAAGAAAAATGGGAAACGGTGAACTGCGTAATGAAAAGGGAACTTCTCACGAAAGAAGAGGCAGAGCGGGAACTAACACGAATAGAAAGAAGGTGTGACTTAGATCACGACGAAGAAGCAAATCCAATCAAAAGCGTCGCAAGGGATCCAAAAGCAGGTCATTTTAGGCGTGAAATTCCCGAGGTTCGTTAAATTAAAACATAAACAAGTAAATATATTCTGACGTATTTTATTGTAGGAAACGCTTACCGATAGTAGAGTTTTTATACCAAAATTAAGGTTTTTGGAAGATCACGAAAAAAGGGTAAATAAATAATATCTGTGCATCGTTTTTTTATTATTATTATTTTTCTAAATACTTAGATACTTCACACAGAAATGGATATAAAAACAGAAACTGAAGACAATTTGTGTCTACAGCCGACAACTACTGGAGAAAGCTCGTGTTCGTGCAATATCAACGTTCTTAGAAAGAAAGTCGATTACCTTATAGACAATCAAAGTAGAATGATTTCGCAAATTACAAATATGCAAAAAAGCCTAGCAATCGTAGCTAATATCATATCACGAGGAAATAAAATCACTCCTACGAGAGAACCTGCGGAACCTGTGCGCATACAAATAGAACAAATTAACTCCGTAGGAAAATTAGACGAGCTGGAAGCACAGTTAGAAGAGAACGATTTCATGGAGATGTTTATAAAAAGCCACACAAATATTTGCGGGACTGACGGAAAACAAAATGGCCTCGACTGCTGCTATCAACTAATAGATTATTTTATAAGTAGAATGTTATTCATGGAAATCTCTTGGACCGGAAATGCAAAAGGGGAGGGCACCTCAAAAGTACCATTCAAATTCTATCGAAATTTTAGAAAAAGCTTTTTTTGTATTATCAAACATGCCGACAAAGATTTTACAGAAACCCTATGTGACACGTTTTTTAAAAGAATTATAAAAAATAGTAAACAGAGATTATTGGCGCAAAATCAAATGACAGCAAAACACAAGTGTCGTCCGAAGAATTTGAAATATAAAAAAACCCGGCTTCAAGAGGAACCGGAAGAACAAGCGATGGACTTTGACGCTGACGAAGGAGAAGAAAGTTTGCCTTAACAGGAGTGACGTGTTTTCAGTAGTGGCTTAAGTCTGTTCGAAGTTTCGGAATTTATGGTCATTTTGTTAATTGTCTATTTACATGTCTGTGTTGTTTATTAATGTGGAGGACGTTGATTTAACTCCACCGACGTCCGATTATGGCCACGAATTTCTAGTGGAAAACGAAAAGAATGTTAAGTTAATTTACTTGTTTTGTGAACGTGGCATTATTTGTTTTTTTTTTACATTAAAGTCTGTGATTGGAAAACTTTCATTAACCCAGATCTTGATACGAAAACCATTATCTTTTTGCGATGCAGGTTTAAATTTTGAATATTCTTGGCGCTTACGTAAAATTCTGTTTAGAATTGACAGAGGGGTCATCAACAGTCTGCAGTTCTACTAGATATATAGGGGAAATTTTATCTTACCAACTCAAAGTAACAGGTAGTGGAGTTTTAATAAAAAAATCTACTTTATTTGTGTAGATTAGTCCATTTTAAGTTGGCAACGTGTAAAATCCAATACTAATGGATATTATGAATTTACAAACACATCGATTTTCGGTATACATACATAGAGAGGAATCATGGACATTTGGAAGTTTGTTTTTGAGCGTTGTATTCTTAACTCAAAACTACAAACGGGAGTGATGTGACAACAACATTAGACATGTTGAAATATAAAAAAAAATGTTTTCAAAATCAATTAGAACGGATTCATTTTAAATTCTTAAAGCACCATTTTATTGGTGCTATGTACTAATAACATAATAAAAAAAAAATCAACGAGGCTGTGATAACCCAAACTTCCCGCCTTAAATTAACACTTGAAAAAAGTTTGAAAGGCCCGCGAAAAATTCAAGAATTGAAAATTTGGTCTTGGCTGTGATTGTCTGATAAAAGGAATGTACCCAGCATCTAAATGCGACGGCCATGCCTAGAGGAAATGGACAGGTGGAGAGGTACCATCGCACAATCCTCGAATCCATGGCACCAATGGGTGCACAAGTGGATGACGATCAATGGGATCAAAATGTGGCGAATATTCAGTTGGGTCTGAATGGGAGCGTTAATTCTGCGTTGGGAGTAACACCAAGCGAGGCGTTAATGGGTTTCCGCGTCAGACCCAACAGGGTTGTGAATGCTGCGGCCGATCCAGTTGATGTTACAAAGGTCCGAGAGGAAATTATTACCCGCATCGCCGAAGATCAGCGAAAACAAAAGGAACGGTTTGACGCAAGGAGAAGAAAAGGTCATTTGTATCAGGTCGGTGACCTGGTAATGACGAAGGTCCAGTGTAATCCAGTCACAGGATGCAGCCAGAAACTGATGCCCAAGTGGAGGGGTCCATTTCGAGTGACCAAATTACTGGACCATGACCGGTTCGAGATTAGTGACATCCCTGGGGCAATTCGGAGTCAAAAAAAATACGTCGGAGTGGCGGGTTTGGAGAATATTAAACCTTGGGTTAGCTACTCGACGTAGGTAACGTATGTTGCGCTGGTACGGGCACTGGTCTTACTGGACGTATAGAAGCCTGACCGGGTACCTTGTAGCTAGGTCACAGAGCTTGCATGGGCATGTGGCGGCACAATAACACGCGGGTAAAGCAGAGTAAAGATAAGTTGTCTTGTGGTGTAGCGGTTAGCATACCAGCCCGGATTGCTTGGAGACGTGGGTTCGAATCCCACCGAGGCACAACATTTTTCTCTGCTTTCCCACATTGGTGACCTCCGATAGGCAACGCGCACTCAACATCCTTCTGCCACCGCCCTGTGCCCGCTGTGTTCGGGGTCCGCAGCACCGCCAGGGTTCGAACAACGACCGTAAGAGTGGTAGGGGCGACGCCAGCATTTATCTCCTTCGCACCCCAGCACGACCGCGCGCTGTGTCGCTGGGGGGGGAGTACTGTGGCGGCACAATAACACGCGGGTAAAGCAGAGTAAAGATAAGTTGTCTTGTGGTGTAGCGGTTAGCATACCAGCCCGGATTGCTTGGAGACGTGGGTTCGAATCCCACCGAGGCACAACATTTTTCTCTGCTTTCCCACAGGCACATAATGTGCTGGTCTTGCGGAAGCCTGGACCGGTAGCGCATATGGCCTGTGGCTTGTACGGGTATGGGTGCTGGAACGTACTGGAAGCGCGTGTTGTTAATGTTTAAATAACCATGGTTAGTTAAGTTACTTTAAGCTTATTACCTAATGCGGTTTGGCCAAACTCACATTATTATTTACAGGTTAAACTACCAAGGCGCAGTACCTGAAACCATTGTTTAAGTATATTATAGTTGGACAACCTATACGGACAATCACTTTCCCATGTAGAAAAGAATGAATATATATTTTACATCTCATTCGTTTCACTATGAAGTGGCGGTACCTTACGAAAGGGGGTAAAAATAGTCCGTAAGCACGTGATGTCGATAAGGTAGTAAACGGACGTGTTAATCAGTACGTTGTACGGGGAGCAGTCACAAAATAAGCAAACGTACGTGTTGAAGACTTTACTGTAATATATGTATATGTAGTGCATACCTGTTTCAAGGTTAAGGTAACAAAAATTTAATATTATCGCGGTATACCTATTATCCATGAACTGCATGGCTAACAAATATGCGTTCCTTCGTCCACTTTAAAGGTATACGAAATTAAACGACCACTACTTTAATTAATAAATAACAAGTCATCTAATTTGCCTCCAGAATAACTATGGATTATCATCAAACTATGAACACCAAATTAATTCAATATGAACATCTTCTTACGTATTTTTTTTATTAACAGTAGTCAAATCATTAAATACATATTATTTTTGAAACTAAAATGCATTTTATCCTAAGATTGTATCACAAAATATTCATCACCATTTAAATATATACGATTTATTTTAGACATCAAGAAATAAATTTAAAATTGCAAAAATTATACTAAAACAGCCTTAAATGTGTCTTGTATGTACGTGCTTATCAGTATGTAGGCATTTTAACGCACAGCAATAATCGTTCATCGTTCTTGATGAGTAATGACTGATGACTACTGTAACACAGTAAATCCTCGAAATCGAAAATTTAAAACACTGAAAAATTCAAATATGGGAAAATTGTAAAATCGAGAAATTGAACAATCGGTTAATTCAAAAATCGAAACATCGAAAAATTGGAAAATCGAAAAATAAAAAAAATTGGACAATCGAAAATTTAAAAATTCCGAAAATTGAAAAATTGAAATATAGAGAACTGAAAACTCAAAAAATCGAAAAAAATTAATGATTTCAAAAATTGAAAAGTTAAAATTGAGAAATCGAAAAACTGAAAAATCACAAAATTGAACGAAATATCAAAAAATTAGGAAATTAAAAAATTGAGAAACAAAAAAATCAAAAAAGCAGAGTCTAAAAATCGCAAACTTAAAAAATCGAAAAATTGAAAAATCAAAAACCTGAATAATCGAAAAATTGAAGAACTGAAGAACTGAAAAATCGAAACTTTAGGAAGTGGAGAAATGGGAATATAAAAAAATAGATTAATTGAGAAATCTGAAAACTAAAAATTCAGAAACGTCAAAATTTGAAAAATAAAAAAATATTGAAGAACTAAAAAATCGAAAAATCTAAAATTTAGAACATTGAAAAGTTAAAATATCCTAAAACTGAAAAATGGAGAAATCCAAACATCAAAAAATCAAAAAAAAAATAAAAATAAAAATCTAAAATTTAATAATCGAAAAACTGAAAAATCAACGAATCGAGAAGTCGAGAATTTAAAAAATTGGACAATTGAAAAATCGGATAAATCAAAAATCGAAACATCGAAAAATCGAGAAACCGAAAAGCAAAAAATCTAAAAACCAACAAATCAAAAAATCGAAACATTATAAAATTCAAAAATTGAGACATCGAGAAATCGAAAAATCAAAAGACAAAAAAAATCGAGGAGTCGAAAAATCGAGAAGTCGAAAAATCAAAAAATTGAGAAACCGAAGTAGGCCAAAATCGAAAAATCGAAAACTTAATTATGGAAAAATTGATAAAGCGAGAGATTGAATAATCAAAACATCGAAACATCCGAATCTCAATGAATTGAGATCTCAAAAAATTTAAACATTCGTAAATTTAAAAAATTAAAATATAGAACTGGAAACTCGAGAAACTGAAAAATCTAGAAATTTAAAAATTAAAATATGAAAAAGTTGAAAAATTGAGAAATTGAAATAAAAAACAAAAAACTGAAAATCCAAAAATAAAAAATAGAAAAATCTAGAAGTCGAAAAATGAAAGAATCGAAATACATATTGAAAAATATCAAAATTGAAAGAAATATCCAAAAATTGAGAAATCGACAAACCAATAAAGCGAAGTCGAAAAATCGAAGAATTGAAGAACTGAAAAATCGAAACTTTGAGAAGTGGGAAAATCAAAAATAGATTAATTGAGAAATCAGAAAACTGAAAATTTAACGCAAAATTTTGAAAAATTCAAAAATTTAAATACTGAAGAACTGAAAAGTCAAAAAATCGAGAAATCGAAAAAACTAAAATTTAAAACAATGAATTATTAAAATATCGCAAAATTGAAGAATCGAGAGATCCAATTCAATTTGAAAAATTGAAAAATCGGGGCATTGAAAAATTGGAAAATCCAGAAATTGAAAAGCTCAAAAGAAAAAAATCGAAAAACCGAGAAATCCAAAAATCAAAACATCGAAAAATTCAAAAACTGAAACTTGGAGAAATAAAAAAATCGGAGGATCGAGAAATTGAGGAGTCGGAAGCCGAAAAGGAAAGTTAAAAATTGAGAAATTGAACAATCAAAACAACGAAACATCTGAATTCGATAAATTGAGAAATTAAAAAATTGAATAATCGAAAAATTTTAAAAAAGAAAAACTGGAAAATCAAAAATTAAAATTCAAAAAATCGAAAAATTGAAATATAGAAGAACTGAAAACTCGAGATATCGAAAAACCTAGAATTTTAAAAAATGAAATATTAAAACATCGAAAAGTTTAAAAATTGATAAATCGAAGCATTAAACAGTCCCAGAATTGAAAAATCTAAAGTTTACAATAAATTGAAAATCCAAAAAGGAAAAAAGCGAGAAATCAAAAAAAATCCATCAATTCAAAAATCGAAAAATTGAAATATTGAAAAATCTCATAACTGAAAGAAATATTCAAAAAATTGAGAAATTAAAAAATTGGAAAATTGAGAAATCGAAAATCTAAAAAAGCAAAATTGAAAAATCGTAATCTTAAAAAATCGAAAAATTGAGGAATTGAAGATGTGAAAAATCGAAACTTTAGGAAATCCCGAAATGGACAAATAAAAAAAATACTTTAGAAATCGGCAAACTGAAAATTTAGAAACGTGAAAATTTGAAAAATTGAAAAATCGAAATATTTAAAAACCGTAAAATTGAAGAGGACAAAAATTGAGAAATCGTAAGATTGAGAAATCGAAAAATAAAAAAATCGAGAAATAGAAAATTTAAGGAATGGAGGAATCGGAAAAGCCCAAAATTGAAATATTGAAAAATTGAGACATTTAAAGTTGAAAAATCGAGAAATCGACAAGCCGAAAAATCCCAATAGCGTATTTAGGTATAAATCACAAGATCAGGACTATTCTACTTTTTAAAATTTAAATACATAACATTATAAATTAGAAAATGTTGATTTTTTTTCCAAAAATCTTGACGTCTAAGGTGAAAACACGGATGCATTAACCGTAAACGGGGCGAAACTACAATTTTACTATTGTAAAATTTGGAGATTGCGTCATTTCATTGTTCGTGACAAATTTTGGAGAGTGTAATTTAATAATACAATTTGAAATGTAAATTTTGTCATTCGGGAACATTATGTATTAAATCGTTAAAATGTTCAAGAACTTTGTTCACTTATTCGTTGTAAAGTCCAATGGTCGAAATGGGTTAGTTCTTCGTAGTGGATGTGTATCAGATCAACTCTAACGAATATCGGTTTATAGATAAATCGCTTAAACCCGATATTGGCCTGAGTGAGCTTTGGTCTGTAGATCAAACAAGTTCTCAGGCGACGAAAAATTGCATGTGGAGGGAGACTTCGGATTACAAATCGTTCCAAGAAAGACATATTTGGGAGAGATGGATTTTCAGGTGCTTGACTAACGGTAATTTTAAATTGTTTGCTGTCGTTCGCGAAGTGAAGAACACAATTTCATTCAAATGATAATTATAAAATTATCATAATCACTATTGGTATTAACACAAAATGGCGCGCAAGTTATCAGTTGATTTCGTTAATAAATTCATAGAAACCTATAAGGGATTTTTTCATGCCTTAGAAAATTAAAAAGTAAAAAATACAATAACAAAAATTTTAAAATGCGGTTTACGAAAAATTAGTTGACCTGTGTAAAGAAGAAAATTTTGGAAACGCTGACAAATATGACATCTTAAAAAAAATAACACTTGAAGAAGTGCTTTCGGCGTAATGTTTTTGATGCTCGCGTGAACAAAATACTCTATGTCAGTTTGCAGTGCGCAAAGAGTTAACTGTGCAGATCTAGCCGAAAATCCGAAAACCAAATCGCTGTGTGTAGGGCCAGCATAACGGAAGTAATAAATCATCCCATCGGTTGAAGAACGTTGGGTCGGTGCACTGATGTCGGTGTTATATCCCGAGAGGGGCCCAATACACCCAATAAAATGGAACAGACAAAATAAAGCTTCAAACATGATTATTTTTATACTAAAATTCTGAAGTTTATAAACTGCACATTTTATTTATTTATTTATTTATTTTATCTTGTTTTCGAACTATAATAAACATTTCAAACAATGTCTGTAACTTATTTTAATGTAAATTATATTCATGTGGTTAACAAAATCAGATGTAATATTAGTGTGATTTTGACCTTATTCTAGATTTTATTACAGCAGAACGGCGTATCCTTTTTAAATTTTAGAAGTTACGGAAACTAGTTCAAGAAACAATTAGTTATCTCGTATTTTTGGAACAAAATCTACCAAAATGTCCGATAACAGCAATTGTTTTTCATAGAAACAAACAGTCTTCAAAGCAGCCTTTAACAACTCGATATTACAAACATGCCTCTTAAGTTCTTTATGCGTTTTTTTCTCTCTTGTAATTATTTGTAATGTTAACGCCGAAAGTTTATGTCATTCTGTTATTTACTTTGAACATATATTTTCATTTTGTGTTAATATTTTTGTAACACCACGAATCTAAATTTTACTTAAAATCTTGTTTTACTTTATACTTGTAAAACTAAACAATTATACCAGTTTAAAAACCCTTGGAAAGTTTCTGCCAGTCTTCAGATATAGTCAAAAAAAAATATGCGTCAAATTCATTTAAATTCAATTCTTTCTTATCACGTTACAACGCGTTGCTTCATATTTTTTATGTCAAGTATATTTTCATATTTTGTACATATATGTTTATACACATTACTGTTTACGGAACAATGTTAATTATGGATTTATGGATAACTCCTCGTACAAGAGCAGAGTGAAGGGTGTTTGCCTTTGCTAATGTTTGATGGCGCCATCTGATTTAGAGTAAAATAAACCTAATACGTTGGCTCACTGTAGTGAAAATGCGCGTTGACGAAAAATTTGTATTAGGTTGTCCAACTATAATATACTTAAACAATGCTGAAACGCTCAGTTTTGAAAATTATAAATTAATGTTACATATAATCAGTGCGATGTTTTCTGAGTAGTTGAAATTCCAGGTACTCTCCCAGTTTCCAACCGAGTGGGACACTCGTTCGTCAGGAAAGGCCGTGTTAGCGGAATCAGGGATGAAAATACCGCCATGGCTCGGACGAGTTCGTATTGGGTCGGAAATGGGAACATGGGACACGGGACTGGAAGTACTGGAGCCTGGAGCACTGTGTTTTTATCGCTGAAGTGACAAACATCATCCCCTTGTTAGCCTCAACGAATAAACCGCATTATTATTTTTAATACGTGTTTTAATTAAATAGTATTCCGACAGTATTGTATATTTTCCTGTAATTGGGTGTAACCTGTAGGGAAATAAACTATTATTATTATTATTATTAATATTATTATCACATTTGAGGTTAGTGCTGGGGGGTGGGGCTTATTTTTTTACTTTTTTTTCTTAACATACAGGTGTTCACTTTATCTGTTCATGCCTGAATATTTCTGCATAGGCAACCCATTTTACGTTTCATAAACAGCTTTAATTAATTTTTATTTTTAAATAATAACACTAGTTTACAAGGTTTTATATCCAAAGACAAAAATAGCTGAATCTAAAGGATTTGGGTTCGGGAAATTCAAATCTGAAAGCAGAAAAAATCTATCACGTCAGGTTTTTGAGATATTTATATAAACATACCCCGCATTTTTTTTCTTTTATACAACTCTTGTAAAATTTGTATTTTTAAATATATATGAACATATAGTTCTTTGAGCAAATTTGTATCATTCTAAAAGATCATTTACGTAAATAAATAACATGAGTGTTAATTTTTCAAGCTACTAGATTGTCATCAATGTTTTATTTAAAATTTTTCAAGTATTTATTTTAGAATAATTGGTTGCTTTTGATTTTTCTACGGGAAGTGATAATAAAAATGTGAGGTTGACCTCACAAAGATCTTTTAAAATGATACAAATTTGCTCAAAGAAATACAGGTTTATCTTTAAGAATAAAGAAGTTACAGGGGTTGTATCAAATAAAAGCAACACCCAGTATATATTATAAACATTATGACTGAAAATTAAAAATTATAAACAGTAGCTTTTCTTTTATTGACAGTACTGACAGTTTCCCTTATAATAGACCAACAGTAACACATTTTCGTCCCAAAATCCTTGATACCTTCTTTTTAAGCATATTTGAACAGGTCTTGCTTTAGGTACTATAATTTTACCATAAACGTAACAAAACTGATTTGCACTTACTTTGCACGATCTCGAAGACATTTTTTATGTGACAATGATGTATTAACATGAATCAGTTTGACACTAACGTGAAGGTAAGAGCAAAGTTCATTATTTTTGATTTATGAAAAAACCTGACGTGATAAGGATAATCCGTTTTTGGATTTGTTATCAGTAAGTAATTTAGAAGTAAAAAATATTTTTTTTATTTTTGGATACGAAAAAAAGTTTAAATTTGTAGACTAGTGTAATGGACGCATAGATAGCAATGTCTGCCTGCCAAATATTTTCAATTTTCTTTTGCTTTAAAATGTTTTCGAATTCTGAAATAACAGACATGCTGCTAATTATCAGAGAGACGTTAGGAACTATTTACACAGAGCATTTGGACCAAGACTTATTGCTAGAGAAGAGGAGTACGTTTGGCCAGCACGTAGCCTTGATCTAACGCCATTAGATTTTTTCTTTGGGGGACGGTGAAAAATGACGTTTTTATAGGACTTTGTGAAGATAGTGGAGGCAGGCATTTTGAACATTTATTATAAATTCGTTTTCGTTGTACCTAATCTAATCCATTAATAAATTGAATATCAATTTTTTCAATTTTGTCATTATTTGGCATTGACATTTTTGTCATTTTTTTTCTGTGATTGCTATGATTGGTTATTAAAAAAAAGTCGTCTCTGGGGTGTATAATATGTTGCCTATGCAAAACTTGTCAGGCGTGAACAGATAAAATGAACACACTGTATAGTTTTCTTTCAACATGATCATCTCAAAATTTTACCGAATAAGTCCTATCTAAAATTGCAAAATATGATCAGTCTATCTTGTAATTTATCATTGCTTTCATATTTTTTTAATTTGCTTATACAGGTGACTCAAAAAAATTAATGAATGAGTGAATTTATTTTAGTCGGCAGTGTATTTATCGAGAAGAGTTCTCTCTACATTGTTTTTTGTTGCGTGATGTAATATATATTTGTATAGTTTTATTTTTATATTTAATTTTACCACAACAATAAAGTCATATATTTTTTTATAATTTATTTCATAATCATCGTTGTCTGTTCCAGGCTCGTTTCTTTGATAACTCCAACTGTTTTTCCAGAGTCGTTGAAATATCGAAATTTGTGGAATTTTTCAAAAATTTGATTTTAAAACGGCACCTTTCGAAAATGTCGCTCGATGAACACAAACACATTATATTTTTTAAATCAGAACAAATTTTGGTTAGAGTTTTACCATCTACACAATACCCTTAATACACATACAAAATTTGACAATTGGTCCAGTAGTCTAATAATTTCTTCGTACTCTAGGGGTCATGAAAGCTCGAGAAAACATAAAAGTAGAAAGTCGCTTACACTGGAGAAGTAAAAAGCCTCAGTTACTTTATTTATATCTAAATCTACAGTAAACTAATCTGCGCCATATGGTAGCTCCACTTTTCCTCCCCTCTCATTGACCACCTGCCAACAACTACAAGCGAAAGTCGTCCTTCTCATGACGTCTGTGTACATTTTACCATTTAAATGATCAACTTCATGTTGAATAATACGAGCCGGCCAACCTACAACATTCATCTCAAAAGCACTCTCTTTATCATCGAGAGCTGTAAGTTTGATTCCCCTGTATCTGGGAACTTCTGCGTGGAACCCCCTCACGCTTTCGCAACTTTCAACGAACGTTAGCTTCGTGTAGTCTGTTACTTCGACTCTTGGGTTGATAATCACCTACAACAACTATTACAAGGCGACATAAGAGAATGTCGTGAATTTTTACTTTCAGCGGGACCACTTGCATTTCTTTCACTTCACGTTCCTGTGGTTTGTAGTAGTTGAGTTGTTTCTCGCTGAACTGGATGAGGAATAGTCTAAAAGGAATACCGAGTTGTGGGGCTGCTAAACCTACGCAATTGTATTTTTGCATTACTTTTTCCATTCTTTTTATCAGGAATTTCACTTCGTCGGACTTGATAAGGTGGCGAGGGATTTCCTGGGACGTCGTCCTCAGTGTTGGGTCTCCTATTTGGATTATGTGGTTAAAGGGGGCTTCGTGAGGTTTGCTTTTAACCAGTCCCGCGTACCACGAGATTATACTTTTGTAACTAAGACGACGAGCTTGAATAAAACTTATATTGCTTAATAGTGACACCATTTATAGTTGTTTCTTATCAACGAAAGTTGAAAATAAAAATGAAAAAATGTATATTTGGGTTTCGGTGTTGTTCTGTCACTTCTGTCACTTCTGTCACACAATTCGTTGACCGAATTTCGATTTGTCCGAAATTTATTGTGCGAAATTAATTTCACACAAATAAATTTAAATTAGCCTTTTCGATACTTCTCTAACACACTCTTAGGAAGCAAAGCGGTCAAACTTCAAGTAATTTTATTTTTTTTTTAATTTCCACATTCGTACTTTCGGACGTAAAATTAATAGTTCATAACCATAGATTAATATAGATGCGACATACTGGCTGATTTTGCAAAACCACACTTATTGACATTGGAGTCCTCAACCGCCAAAGACAAGCGCCAAATTTAAATAGTCGATGTCAAAATAGTTGTTTGGTCGGTTTTTATAACGACTAATAAGTGAATATTTTTGGTACATATTTAGATAATTTTACATATTTTGTTTAAATAAAAATTAATTCTTTATTTGTGTTTTATACTAGCAAAACGTCTTAAACTAAGAAATTGTTGAAATCGCAATAACCCAATGGATTTTTTTCGGGAAAATGTTTTGGAAACACTGTGTTCTGTATTGTATGAATTTTTAAATGTTTTTAGTGACAATTTTTGTGGTTGTTTTCGATACACTGTATGATATTAACAATGAGAAAAAAACGAACAATTAAAATAATGAAAAATTCGAAAATTCGAGAAATCTAATAATCGAAAAATCGAAACCTTAAAAAATCGTAAAGCCGAAACATTGAAAAATCAGAAAATCGAAAAAATGTAAAATTTAAAAATCTAAAATTTAAAACCGTGTAACGAAAAATCGAGAAATCGAAACTCCCAAATTTAAAAAATCGGATAACTAAAAAATCGAAACATCGAAAAACTGGAAAATCGAAAAACCGAGAAATCGAAAAATCAAAAGATCAAGAAATCGTGGAGTCGAAAGGTCGAACAATTGAGACACCGAAATAGGCCAAAATCGAAAAATCGAAAAGTTAAAAATTGAATAATTTATAAGTTGAGAAATTGACAATCAAAATATCGAAAAATCCAAATCTCGATAAATCGAGAAATCAAAAAACTTAAAAATTTGAAAAATTGAAAAACTGAGAGATTGGAAGATCAAAAGAACGAGGAATCGAAAAATGATGAAGTCGAAAAATCGAAAAATAGAGAAGTCGACACACAAAAAGTTAAAAATTGAAAAATTGGAAAAGCGGAAAAATCAAAAAACGAAAAAATGTAAAACTGGAAAAATTGAGAAACCGAAATAGGCCAAAATAAAAAATTGAAAAACTGATAAATCGAAAACCTCAACAATCAAATCTCGATAAATCGGGAATGAGAAATTAACAAATCGAGAAATTGAAAAACAGAACATCTAAAACCAGGAAGTCGAAAAATCGAAAGATTAAGAAATATTGAAAAATTAAAATATCAAAAGATTGAAAAATCTAAAATTTAAAAATCCAAAAATTGAAAAATCGAAAAAATAAAAAGGTAGACACATCGAAAAATCCAGAAGTGAAAAATAGAAGAGCCGAAGAATTGAAATATGTATTGAAAAATCCTAAAACTGAAATATCTAAAAACTAAAAAATCGAAAAATCAAAAAAGTGAAGTCGAAAAATTAAAGAATTGAAGAATAGAAAAATCGAAACACTCGAAGGTCAATAAATGGGAAAATCAAAACATCGATTAATTGAAAAATTGAAAAATTGAGAGTTTATGAAAGTCAAATTTGAAAAATTAAAAAATCGAAAATTTGACAAAACGGCAATTGAAAAACAGAAAATCTAAAACCGGGAAGTCGAAAAATTAAAAGATTAAGAAATCGAAACATTTCAAAAATTCGAAAACTTGAAAAATTCAAATATCAAAGAACTGAACTGAAAAATCGAGAAATCGAAAAATCTAAAATTTTAAAAATTAAAAAATCTAAAATTTAAAAATCAAAAAATTGAAAAATCGAAAAGTTAAAGAATCGAAATATTAAAAAATCCCAAAACTGAGATATCAAAAAACTGAAAATGAAAGAAAAACTGAGAATCTAATAACCTGAAAAATCCGAAAACTGAAATATCCAAAAATTGAGAACCTAAAATGTCGAAAAATTGAGCAATCGAAAAATCCAAAAAGTGAAGTCGAAAAATCGAAACCTTAAAATAACTAAAAAATGAAAAATCGAAAAATTAAAGAACAGGAATTTCGAAACCCTCGAAAGTCAAGAAATGGGAAAATCAAAACAGAAAATTTAAAACCAGGAAGTCGAAAAATCGATAGATTAGGAAATCAAAACATTTGAAAAATTGGAAAACATGAAAAACGGAAATATCGAAGAACTGAAATGAAAAATCGGGAAATCGAAAAATATAAAATTTTAAATATTGAGAAATTAAAATATCAAAAGACTGAAAAATCTAAAACTTAAAAATCGAAAAATTGAAAAAACGACAATTGAAAAACAGAAAATCCAAAACCGGGAAGTCGAAAAATCGAAACATTTGAAAAATTGAAATATGGAGGAGATGAAATGAAAAATCGAGAAATCGAAAAATCTAAAATTTTAAATATTGAAAAATTAAAATACCAAAAAATTGATAAATCTAAAATTTAAAAATCAAAAAAGTAAAAAGTCAACATATTGAAAAGTACAGAAGTCAAAAATTGTCGAAAAACAGAAATATTGAAAAATCCCAAAATTGAAATATCTAAAACCTGAAAAATCGAAAAATCAAAAAAGTGAAGTCGAAAAATAGAAACCTTAAAAAATCGAAAAATTGAAAAATCAAAAAATTAAAGAATTGAAGGATAGGAAAATCGAAACACTCGAAGGTCAAGAAATGGGAAAATCAAAACATCGATTAATTGTAAAATCGAAAAATTGAGTTTATGAAAGTCAAATTTAAAAAATTAGAAAATCGAAAATTTGACAAAATGACAATTGAAAAACAGAAAATCTAAAACCGGGAAGTCGAAAAATCAAAAGATTAAGAAATCGAAACATTTGAAAAATTCGAAAACTTGGAAAATTTAAATATCAAAGAACTGAATTGAAAAATCGAGAATTGAAAAATCTAAAATTTTAAAAATTAAAAAATCTAAAATTTAAATATCGAAAAATTGAAAAATCGAAAAAGTTTAAAAATCGACACATCGAAAAATCCAGGAGGCAAAAATCGAAAAGTCGAAGAATCGAAATATTGAAAAATCCCGAAACTGAGATATCGAAAAACTGAAAATGAAAGAAAAACTGAGAATCTAATAACCTGAAAAATCCGAAAACTGAAATATCCAAAAATTGAGCAATCGAAAAATCCAAAAAGTGAAGTCGAAAAATCGAAACCTTAAAATAACTAAAACATAAAAAATCGAAAAATTAAAGAATTGAAGAACAGGAATATCGAAACCCTCGAAAGTCAAGAAATGGGAAAATCAAAACATCGATTAATAGTAAAATCGAAAAATGGACAGTTTGTAAATGCCAAATTTGAAAAATTGAAAAATCGAAAATTTGAAAAAACGACAATTGAAAAACAGAAAATTTAAAACCGAAAAATCGATAGATTAAGAAATCAAAACATTTGAAAAATTCGAAAACATGAAAAACAGAAACATCGAAGAACTGAAATGAAAAATCAAGAAATCGAAACATCTAAAATTTTAAATATTGAAAAATTAAAATATCAAAAAACTGAAAAATCTAAAATTTAAAAATCGAAAAATTGAAAAAACGACAATGGAAAAACAGAAAATCTAAAACCGGGAAATCGAAAAATGGAAACATTTGAAAAATTGAAATATGGAAGAGTTGAAATGAAAAATCGAGAAATCGAAAAATCTAAAATTTTAAATATTGAAAAATTAAAATACCAAAAAATTGAAAAATCTAAAATTTAAAAATCGAAAAAGAAAAAAGTCGACACATCGAAAAGTACAGAAGTCTAAAATGGTCGAAGAACAGAAATATTGAAAAATCCCAAAACTGAAATATCTAAAAACTGAAAAATCGAAAAATCAAAAAAGTGAAGTCGAAAAATAGAAGCCTTAAAAAATCGAAAAATTGAAAAATCAAAAACCTGATAAATCAAAAAATTAAAGAACTGAAGGATAGGAAAATCGAAACACTCGAAGGTCAAGAAATGGGAAAATCAAAACATCGATTAATTGTAAAATCGAAAAATTTACAGTTTATAAATGCCAAATTTGAAAAATTGAAAAATCGAAAATTTGAAACCGGGAAGTCGAAAAATCAAAAGATTAAGAAATCGAAACATTTGAAAAATTCGAAAACTTGGAAAATTGAAATATCGAAGAATGAGAAATTGAGAAATTGAAAAATCTAAAATTTTAAAAATTAAAAAATGTAAAACTTAAATTTCGAAAATTGAAAAAACGAAAAAGTAAAAAAATCGACACATTGAAAAATCCAGGAATCAAAAATCGAAAAGTCGAAGAATCGAAATATTGAAAAATCGCAAAACTGAAATATCGAAAAACTGAAAAATGAAAGAAAAACTGAGAATCTAATAACCTGAAAAATCCGAAAACTGAAATATCCAAAAACTGAGAACCTAAAAGGTCGAAAAATTGAGCAATCGAAAAATCCAAAAAGTGAAGTCGAAAAATCGAAACCTTAAAAAAACTAAAAAATGAAAAATCGAAAAATTAAAGAATTGAAGAACAGGAATATCGAAACCCTCGAAAGTCAAGAAATGGGAAAATCAAAACAGAAAATTCAAAACCGGGAAGTCGAAAAATCAATAAGATTAGGAAATCAAAACATTTGAAAAATTGGAAAAGATGAAAAACGGAAATATCGAAGAACTGAAATGAAAAATCGAGAAATCGAAAAATCTAACATTTTAAATATTGAAAAATTAAAATATCAAAAAACTGAAAAATCTAAAATTTAAAAATCGAAAAAGTAAAAAGTCGACACATCGAAAAGTACAGAAGTCAAAAATGGTCGAAGAACAGAAATATTGAAAATCCCAAAATTGAAATATCTAAAAACTGAAAAATCGAAAAATCAAAAAAGTGAAGTCGAAAATAATTGTAAAATCGAA